AAAAAAAAAGATCTATGGCTTTCAAAGCAACTTTTGTAATGTTTTTCAAATAATGTTATGTAGGTCTGATGCCCGTCTTCATAAAGATGACATTGACATCTGCTTCAGCAAAACTCTGAACTCCTGCAAAGTACCCCAGATTCGTTATGCAAGTGTTGAACGCCTCTTGGAAAGATTAACAGACTTGAGATTTCTCAGTATTGATTTTCTTAATACTTTCCTACATACTTACCGCATATTTACTAATGCAACTGTTGTACTAGAAAAACTGTCTGATATTTACAAACGGCCTTTCACCTCCATCCCTGTCAGGTGAGTTGTTTTCTACTTTTTATTATTATATTTATGGAAATGTTGATAATTATATAGTCATCTTGCAAACTGGATTATGTATTCATGGTCTGATAGAACAAAAATCACTTTTGTTCTGCAAGATGCACTTGTTAAGTGAATGTGGTTTCCCTCAATGACTTTGCTTGTTGGAAGCCAGCTGGAAAAGTTACAAATGGTGATCACATGACCCTGGAACACTGCAACTGTCACAAATATATACCAGCTACTAAGTGTTTGAATTTTGATCACATGACCATGCAAGAGTCATAAGTTTGAAAACTTGGCATAAGTCACTTTTTCAGTGTCATTGTAACTTCAAACAGTCACGACATGAATGGTTGTACAGTGAAGACTGACTATCTGTAGTTTTGGAAATTTTCTACATGGTATTCAGAACTACTACCATACAGTGTTTTTTAAAAGAAAACCCAGGTAATAGATAGTTCGGACATTCTGCTCTCACATTCTCCAGATAGGCATCCTGAACTAAGTCCTTGGCAAAGGCAGGCTCTGCCTATAAATGTGTTACTCTAATCTCTCTGACCTGTGTTGTTGCTGATAAGAATACTTGACAAGCCCCAAATAGATCCTAACCAGTGAGGTTGATCTTCCTAGCAGCACATGGTGATTTCTTATCTAATGAAATCACAGATTAGAAATCAGTTTTGTATCTTGGGTTTTTCAATTTCCAGAATGTTTCCAGTTGTATGTTGGTTATAGTATTTTCTTATAAACTACTTTTTAAAGGCAGTTCTGGCATGGTAAAATTACTTCTCAGTTTTTTAATTTGTCTTCTAGGTCTTTGGAACTGTTTTTTGCTACTAATCAAAACAATAGAGAACATATGGCTGATGCAAAGTCACCACACCTCTGCCGCAAGTTTTCTTCCCCTCCACCTTTATCTCTTTCTAGGACGTCTTCACCTGTTAGAACAAGAAAATTATCATTAAATTCTCCATTAAATTCAAGAATAGGAGCATTAGATCTATCGGCTTCTTCTGTTAGCAGTCCTACCTCAACATACAGCCCTGGAACATCATCACCCCCCATGTCAACAAAAGTGCCACTGGATCTGAGCAAAAGCCCTTCATCTCCAGAGCAAAGCCCTGTTTTTTCAGAAGACAATTCAGAAAATCCACGCAATGAGCTTTGCAATAAGCTACGAAGAAGTATTCGAAGAGGTATTTGTCTGTCTGTCTGTCTGTCTGTCTGTCTGTCTGTCTGTCTGTCTGCTTGCCTGCCTGCCTGCCTGCCTGCCTGCCTGCCTGCCTACCTACCTACCTACCTACCTACCTACCAGAGGTGGGTTCCTACCAGTTCGCACCTATTCGGTAGAACCGGTTCGTTAAATCTACCGAACCGGTTAGAAGAGGTTCCACCAGTGGGCCCGGAAATCAGGCCACACCTACAGAAGAGGTTCCAAACTTTTTTGAAACCCACCACTGGTCCTTGGATATGATTATTCTGCACTATTATGCTCATATTTATAAAACTCAGTGCCTCTGTGAAAAGTAAGGATGGCTACTGCGTTTGTGGTGCAATCAGAACATTG